GCGGGGGTTTGGGTATCTACCGAGAGTGTCTGTCAGGCCCATTCCTCAACAGGAAAGTCTAATGCAATTTAGATCCACTGAAACTCTTCCAGGTTGCTTGACCATAATATGTAATTTTACTGTCATGAGGGATTTACTGATGTTATGAACAGGACAGATTGGTCCAGTTCTTGGCAAGGGCTAGAGAACATGGACTCTTGGAAACAGCAGGAGCCATCTGCACTTGTCAGTCTCCCTGGCTTTAAATCTGCACTTGTTAAGAACCCATTGTTTGATCTTAGCAACTTCTTTCCATTCCTTCTGTGGAGGTAAAAGCCATTACTGGTTTGTGTAGAGATTTGCCATCAAGTGAAGTGACAGCAGATCTTACTGGCTTCAGTGCCACTTTTGAACAGGGGCTTCCGGTTAGAGGATTTGAACATTTCATAAGAGCACAGTGGAGAAAAATTCCTTTGTAGTTCCCGTGAACTGGCTGTGTGCCGGAGGGAAGTTCCAAAACTTAGCAGGGTTCTTTTGTATGTTTATATCTGATGAAGAGAGGGTGCTTTTTTGTGTAGTGAGTATGTAAACACTGGATTTAAGTAAGTGAGTAGATTATCAACATAACTGCACTGAAGTATTCCCATTAAAGCAGTACTGACAGCTTTTTCAAATGGAGGGAGAATACAGGTAGTCCTCAACACAAAACAGTGTGTCTAATGACTGTTCAAAGTTACAATGGCACAGAAAAAAGTGAGTTATGACTGATTTTCACATCTACGACTGTTGTAGCATCCTCATGGATGCCTGGGAACCGGCTCATGTTTATGACGATTGCAGTGTCATGGGGTCATGTGGTCACCTTTTGCGACCTTCTGATAAACAAAGCCAGTGGGGAAACCAGATTCGTTTACTAGTTCATTAGTTAGGCTACTAACTAATCAACTGCAGTGATTCACTTAGTTACTCTGACAAGGTCATAAAATGTGCAAGTGTCAGCTTTGGAAGCCATATTAGCACCAGACGCTTCCACACTGCCACATTCTTGAGCTTGGGAAAATGGAAGGGGGGAATTTCTTGAAGCGTATGTGGTTAGACATAATAAGAGATTCGGGATTTCCCAGATGTGCCAGTTTACTACTCTAATAAAAGGAACCTTTGAGCAGATGTCTGTCTCAGAGTTATCTGTTGGAGTCAAGGTTTTCTGGAATGCTGATAGTAAGACTCACTTAACAAATGTCTCACTTAGCAACAGAAATTTTGGACTTGATTGTGGTTGTTAGTCAATTACTACCTGCCCACCTTATTTGAGTATGCAGTTATGTGCAGATTTAACATTGTAATCAAAGCTGAGTACCTAAAACAAACAGAAAAAAATATTCTGCATCATTGAAACAAACTTATCTGTCTGATTGTGATAGCTAATATGATACGTGAGGTGTGGCATATAGATCTATAGAATTTCTCACTTCTTAAAAAATATTAAATTTATCTTATTCTGTTTCTGTGTCAGTCTGCAGTATTTTTCTTAAAAAAATTCCATACAGTGCATAACATTTCACATAAAATTTAAGGAAATGCCAATTATGAAAGTTCATATAAGAATACATGCTCCATCTCTGGTGTGGAAAATTGTTTTCCAAGTGCTCTGAATTTCTTCCAATTTCTCAATGTATTTTTACACACAGACAAATGCTCTTTGCAATTTACAGATAGGTCTGTGGAGCTATTTTATATTTTCTGTTAATAATGCAAACAGACAAGGATGTCTTCTATAGTTAATTATCAGGAGTGACATGAAGATAGTTGAACAACAATTCATACCCATTTTAAATAGAATAGCAGTTTGCCTGTTGTGCTAATAGACTATAGAAAACACTATTCAAAATTTTGGCTGCTGCCTGCTTATCTTGTAGCAATCTAGCATTGAAGCTCAAGAAAATAACCACATCATGGGAGGTAACTGGTTCACATTTCAATTCAGCCTTCAGTATCTTTCATTCCTCGTCATCCATTTCTTCTGCAAACTGGGGATAAACTGCCTTACCTTAAACATAAAAGTTTACATACAGTAGGTACTCTGAGAGATTTAGCAGCAAGCTCAAGTACTGGAAAGTTTTTTAAATTTTTCTTCCTGGTTACTTAAGAAGCTTCCATGTGAAATTGTTCAGTTGTAGCCATGGTTCATTCATAAAAATTTATGGAGGTCAAGAAATGTCATTTCTGTTTGGAACCCACTTCTATTTTTGCTTTTGACAGAAACTCAGTGAAGAAAGAAACTATTATATCTGTGAAATGTCTTTGTTTGACAGGTCAGGTTTATCTACCTAACTAGTTCCCTGTTTGATTTATAGGCTGCCCTTTTTTAATCAAAGTGAACACCCAAAGCACTTTAAAACCACATATAAATATAAATAAAGTAAGAAAAAATACTTTATCCTTGGGGTTTTTTTTTGTTTTTTTTTAAATGTTAGAAAGATTAAATTTTAGTTGAATAATTTGAATTAAAAATAATTTTGTCTTATTTTCATACTTATTTTGCTGAAATAAAGTACAACAACAATTATAGATATTATTTGTTGCTAAAGGTGAACTTTTCTTTTTTTTAAATATCTTCAGAAAACTAAATGATCTTTGTGCTTTATAAGGCTTAAGCTCTGGTCTATGTTTCTTGGCCTTGATAATCAGGTATCATGCAAGTTGTCACTGATTCAGGTTTTTAGAAGTGTATAACAGAGAATTATATATCTTCTCTTTAAAGATTTATCTAAATGACCTAAAATATTTTACACCTTATCAAGATGTTTGATGAATCTATGTTCTGTGACACTGGAAAACTGACAGTCATGTCAAGCAAGTTGGAAAAAATAAGTAAATATTGGATTACAGTAGCCAGTAGAGTTTGAAAACAAGTATTCCATTGACTGCTATAAATCTTGTATATAAAACTTACACAAATTTGGTATCCACACTGGACTGTGGATGCTCTAGAAGATAAAAATATTTAATTGGGTCAGACACATGCTTTCATTGAGAACATCAGAGAAAAAATAAATATGTATCTTGATTATCAACAGAGCTGACTACTAATTTTAACATTTAAGTTCAATAAAAATAATTTGGCATCATGATTTCACCAGGGCCAGGGATGAAGAATTTAGATAAGCATCCATTGTGCTGTGTCTTTCTGCACTAAGTGTTTACAGGGAAGAGGCATTAAGTTAAGTGAGGTGAATCAAATAGTGGTCAAAATCCTTATTATTGTTTTTTGCAGGAAGTTAATATAAGGCAGTTTGCATTAAAAAATAAGGTACAATTGAATGGTAGCTGCTTCTGTTCCTTTAGAAACCTGACATTATTTTGAAGTAGGATAGTTCTACTTCATCCTAAATTCTCATTGAGTCACTGTGGGTTGTTCTCATTGTACTTGCATCCCATTGTGCTTGTCTGAAAGCCTGCCATTGAATGACTTGCTGCTTCAATTGTTCTCCAACAACTTCAGCTTAACTTCCCTCTCTTGCCTATAACCCTGGTATTTCCTGGTTGCCTTCCATCCAACTATTAACCCAGTCCAGTCCTGCTTAGGTTTCTAAGATCAGCTAGGTTTCGCCAGGTCCAGCTCACTGGGTAGAAAAGTATTACAGTTTGAACATTACAGTGGTAAATCTGCTGTAACCAGAGTTTGTATATTATAAGCAAAGTACTACTCACTCTGTCCTCAAAGGAGCTTGTGCATTATCGGCAAGGAATACTTTAATATATTATACATCCCATAAATCACAGCAGAGAAACTATAGCTGTTGGGAGATTATTGGACTTTAAGTCTTAATCAATAAAGCTGTTGGCTGTGGCTGATGATATATAATATACTAGTAGTAATTAATACTGCATATGAGAACAAGAAGCAACACACATCCTTTACTGCAGAATATCACATAGGACAATCCTTATAGTTGTGACAAATTATGGTACTCTGTTAGCGATTGTGACTGTGAGTAATAAATGTTCAGTTAGCTGGAATTATCCACAGCTTATCCTGAATTAAAAAGATCTTTGCTTCATTTTCTAAATATAGTAGCAGCTAGCCTTTTTCTAAATAGCAGTTGTTTTCCCCATTCTAAATTATTGAGAGTGTTGAAAATTGAATCCCATTCGCCATTAGTAAAAATGGATTGATGGGACTAAAAGAGAATTTTGGCATCTGTTGATACTTTCCCTCATTCCCTTGAATCTCTAACTCCAATTATATTTGGAAAAATTAACTTTATTGGTATGTCACCCCCCCTCCTCTCCCCCCCCCTCCCTCCCTCTCTCTCTCTCTCTCTCTGCGAGCTGTGCCCTCTCTTATCTGACCATTACCTAGGCAGCATTTCTTTGACCTGTCTCTCAAGGTCTTTCCCACATACCATTACAGGCCTTTTCCAATTCTGTAGTTCTGTGTTGATGTGTGGCTGAAACAAAGATGCAGCTGAAAATTGGGAGGTGGAGTAGGGAGAGGGAGACTTCATAAACATATATGTTATATGTGGGTTTCAAAGTGTCCTTATTTTCCTCTCTCCGTTTGGTTAAGCGCTTCAGTTCTACTCTGTCCTACCTCCCCCTAACTTGACACAGATTTTTTTGCCTGATGAGATCCAGACATTGCACCTCCCTAATCAATGCAGAACAGTCACCTTTTTATAGGACTAAAGGGAGCTTCAGAGAGGTTAAGCAAACAATAGTTTCCTTTGGTGTGCCAGTAGTGTCAATTGTCTAAGCAAAATTAAGTACCACCAGTGCTTCTGAAGAAAGCTGCTTGTTGTCAGACAAGCTGCAAGCAACTTGAAAAAGATGCTTTTATCGAAATGTGTGGAGTCCCAATACCAAAATGTTACAACTGATGGTTATAAGTATTTAAAATGAGCTCCCCTTTATGCCAGATTGGTATCTCATGGCTCATGTTGTAAAAGCTAGGAGATAGAATAAAGTTAAATTAAAGAAGATTCAGCTTGAAAATAATTATCTTTTTTATTTCCCTGCAGGCTTTTCTGCATCGAATTAGACAAAATGCGGTGGATAAAGCCGAGAAATATATAACAGAGGAAAATGTCAAGGTAATGCTTCCAAAACATTTTGGGGTTAAGAGTGAGATAATGTGAAGCTCCAACATTGATTCTGTTAATGGCAATGTTTGGATTACCACATTACCTTAAAGGAACAGAAACTATTTACTCCTACAAGATGCGTTAGGTGGAAAACAGCAGGGAGTATCTTTGCTTTTTCATCTGTTTGAAAAGTCCAATAATATTGTATCTTAGTATGAAGAAATGAACATGACAGCCATAGGGAGATCCTGAGACTCAGGTCCAACTTCAGTCCCTAAATATTGTTTCTTTTAAAACCAACAGAAGGTCTAGTTCAAGGGTCTTCAAACTTGGCAAGTTTAAGACTTGTGGTCTTCAACTCCCAGAATTCCTGAGCTAACATGACTGGAGGAGGAATTCTGGGAGTTGAAGTCCATAAGTCTTAAAGCTGTCAAGTTTGAAGACCTCTGGTCTAGTTGGATAAATCTGTGATTTCTACTTACAATCTCCATTCCTTTAATTCAGTGGCAAAGTACTGTATCTCTGACTTGGAAAATTAGATGCTTCTATTTCCCTCCTTGCTAAATTCCTTCATTTCTTGTAGAAAGCAATCATGCATGTCATTGACTTTTCTTCCAAGGCCAGTTAGTCCTCAAGCTACTCTGTTGTCCTCAGCAAACAAACAAATACAAAAATTGTTAGCAAAGTTTTTGTGGCTTTTAAATGCTGCAGTTAAAAAGTAATGCTACTGTTGTTTTTACTGCAATTACTTTATTGCCTGTCAATGTTCTAAATGTTTCTGTCTTACAATCAAATTCTGCATTTAAATTAATTTGGTTTTCTCACCTGATTGTTTATGCCTGAAATTTTGGGAGGTTTTTCTTCAGATGCACAGTCATATTTCTGTTTTATTTCTCTTTGCCAAATTTCCTAGGGAGAACCTGTCTTTATCCTCTTTCTTTCACACATGATATCTGAGTTGAATTGCCTCTTACTCCTCTGGGCCTTTCCTCCTGGATATCTACCTTCTCACTATATTCCCTCACATGGTGATTTGCTGCTACTGCTGCTGCTTATCTGTGCCTTTTTTCTCGATTCACGAACCCACTTTCAACAAAGCAAAAATTGTACCTCTCTCCTTTTCTATATTTTTCAAGGCTGGATATACACAGAATGCTTAATCAAGTCAATTGCAATCCTAATAGTTGGATTTGGACACTATGCTAAGTAAAACACTGGTTAATTCTTTTATGACTTAGTGGGTTATTGAACACAGAACATTTGTTATTTTATGATTCCATATATTGTGCAGTCTCAGCACAGAGTCACATAGCTCTTCCTCACTATTTTGCTCGTGTTCATGTTGATGCTTCCAGGTTTCCCCATTGGTGACTTTGGCTTAAACACTTTATGTGCCTTTCCAGAAGCAGATAACTGGTTATCTTTTGACTCGGGATGCTAATCTAGATGAACCTCAATTTGCTACAGATAGGCTCTTCTATGTTAACTAGATCTCAGTACTGTAAATAATGCAGAAGCCTATGGCGTCTTCCTTGCCAGAAATTTTAAATTCAGATAACTGTGCTATCAGTTTTCTGTCTTTAAGTTATCACTGAAAAGGAAACAGCAACAAGATAAGTTAAGTTTAAGTCTTTGGAACTTTCTCTGCATTATTACTTAGTTTTCTCCAGAAATGTTTTATTGTCTCATTAAAATCATTTTAGTAATACTTAACCATTCCTGTCTTTGACTGCTGACTAATAGGGCACTTTCAGTATGAAGCAAGCAGCTGAGGAAGAGACAAAAGGGCAGCAGGATACAGTTGGATAACTGAAGTCTGTCAGATTCCATTAATAAAGCTGCCTCTCCTCTGTGGCATATTTCATGCTGACATGAGTATTAGAGATCTTACAAGCTTTAATGGTGAAAATGATGATAACAATACCAGTTGGAAAGATGCCATAAAGAATTCATGATGAAATCAGCTTCTAGTTTAGTATAACATCTGAATTGTGCAACAGTGCTTTGCATTCTTCTGCCAAATCAGAACTGAAACAGAGATGAAGTTAAGTTGATTTGCAATCAGTAATTACATATGGTATGGTAGCTATGCTTGTTTAGGATAGCTGGTCTGATAAAACATAACTACCATTCTGTCTTAAAAGCTTACATTGAAAATTAGCAATAAATATTAATTGTGTTGCATTGTGAAAAATTGCATTTTGGAATGTTTTCAGTCTAATTTTTTAAACTTTCTGTATGTTCTGGCATAGATATATTTAAGACCAGTGGAATTTACAGAGGGGTGTGTGTGTGCGTGTGCGTGTGTGTTAAATGCAGCAAGATGGTGGATATATCATCATGTCCATATGCAAAACAGATGGGGATAGGATTGTGACCCATTGCTAACTTGTCTATTACACACACACACACACACACACACACACACACACACACACTGTGGTCACCACTGCTTTTTTTTTTTCTTCTTTTTACTGTGTTATTAAACCAAAGGGTGGAACTTTTCATTTCAAAACTCTGATAGGCATGTCTTCATTGCAGAGTTAGTGAAAATATTGAGTTATCAAGGACTTAACACGCCGCAATCGGATAATCTTTGTTGAGACATATGCTAACCATAGTTAATTAAGTTTTCTAGTTCTTGCATAGCCTTTATTCAATGTTATTTTCTAATTTTTCAATTAAATTCTAAATTGTTTTATTATGAAATATTAAACAATATAAAACAAACACAATAAGGATTATTTCAAATGGATGGAGGGATAAGAATCTGCAAATAATAAACTGGCAATTATTACTGGATTTTTTTTTTATGTTACAGATTTTATTTTCCAATATGGAAGATATACTTGATGTTCATAATGACTTCCTGACTGCTTTAGAATATTGTTTACATCCAGAACCTCATTCTCAGCACCAATTGGGAGAAGTTTTCTTAAAATTTGTGAGTATGATACATTAAAATATATCTGCTGGGTTGTGAACAGACTTGTAAATTCTGTATCTTGATGCAAATTAAATACTGTATATTGGATTTGGCAATCAAGTGGTTTCATGAGATATTTGAATTGATGTAAGGTTCCTTTAAGTAGACTAATTTTCATTTCTTCAAGAGAAACACAGAGACTCAAACTCTGGCTTCGCATCTTATTCTAAGACCAAATAAATAAATCACACCAGATCAGCATGTCTGCAAAAAGGGGTGCATTTTGTCTCAGGTATCTGGGGAAAGGACTGCCTCATGTATGGGGTTTTTATCTCCCTTGCCAGGATTTAGGGAAGAGTTTCAGCTTTGAACTGACTTGTGTAAAGTCCTCTTACATGTCTTCATGTCCATTGCCCTCCCTATCCTATTGCATGTCTATAACTATAGCCCTTAAGGCACAGCCATATGTTCCCCTAACTTTGGTTCACACACATCTCACCAATTGTTCTTTATGAAGATGTTTGCACAGCTTTCTTCATCTCCTTCCGAGCCCCATAGCCAAGGATATTTCTGAATACTGTACAGACTAATAATGTCTTGGCTCACTGGATATATCTATAGCTGAAAATAATAAAGTATGGCTTCTTCTTCTTCTTCTTCTTCTTCTTCTTCTTCTTCTTCTTCTT